TCTCTCGTGTGTTGAGTCATTATTTTCTTTGCTGTCCATTGGTGGGAAATTTCACCTGGAACATGGTGTCATGCTGCTCCATGAGAACATGGTGTAAAATTCAACAAGGTCCCAAGTGTTGGTGCTGGGTAAGGAATTTGTCAGGTACCTGATGTGGTCAGAAGGTGGGAAAAGGGTATGTTAGCAAATGGCATGTGACTTGGAACCTGCATGGGTATGTGGAAGAACTGGATGTCAGTGAAGGGGCTGAGGACTTTGCAGAAGTGCATTTGGATTCACTGGAATTTTGTTTATTTTTCAGGTATCTGTAGGGAAGAGTGGGTACAGAAAGGGTGGCAGGTAAAAGGAACAGGTGTATCTATTGTGTCCTTGTGATTTTTGTTTATTATTTGAAAAATGATTTTTGTTTACTTTCCAAACAAATAGGTTTGTTCAGTCTGGAACACCTTGCAGGTTAGGGTTAAATGAACACTTCGGTGGTGTTTCAGGACTAGGTTAACTATTGGTTGAAGATAGTGACCTGCACATTTTTCAGGTGTTTTTGTGAGAGGTATCCACTGTAGTGCTCTTTTTTAAATGTGTTGCTTCACATGAAAGAGCCCAAAATGGAGACAAACAATTTTTTATTTTATTTTATTTTATTTTATTTTATTTTATTTTATTTTATTTATTTTATTTTATTTATTTTATTTTTAGTAAACAGAGTTAGGGAGTTATGGGGTAAGTAGTGATGTTGCAAAAGGAAGCTCCATTTGCCCCAGTATGCCTGAATATCTGAGCTTTGCCCTTTCCTTGTTGTCTTTTATCTTAGATGCCCAGGTAACATCATGGGGATGAGTCTGAAGAACCTGGACCACCTGGTTCTGTATCCCAGCCAGATGCCCATGGCTGTGGGGAGAACATGGCAAAATTTGTCCCCATAATTGGTGTGCTACAGTACCTTGAGAAGACAAGGCAGCTGACAGAAAAGCTGAAGATTAAAGCTATGGAGTTCTTGCAGACAGGTTCATCAGATCTGTTGCACTGTTTCCTTACTGTCAGTAGTGAGTGTTCCAGTTCTCTTAAGAAGTGGTTTCTTTTCCATGAATACAATACCATTATGTCAGATGGAAAGTAGTTGTTGTTTCTGGAAGTTCTTCACTCCTGTTTCTCTCGCACCCAGGCTACCAGAGGGACCTTCAGTTCAAACATAGCAATGGATCCCCCACTGTATTTGGAGAGGTACTTGGGAAAGGCAGTATCTGGTGAACAACTGCCCTTCCCTTCTCAGTACAGTAAAGAACAAGTCTTCTTCAACCTTGTGTCTCTCCTTATGTGGCCCCAAGTCTGTTAGTGGATTGTTCTCACTCTTTCACTAGGCTGGCTAGAGCACCTTGGTGGTAAAGGAGTGGCCATGCCAGAAACATGCAAAAATGCTGTTGGTCCTCCTCATAAGTGTCACTGGCCTGATATAAGCATAAAGCTTATGATGAACTCTATAAGACACTGGTATACCTCTCATCTCTCCCTCTCTTTTCTTCTTCTGACTCTCTTAGAAGATGAAGAAAAGTGATCCAGAACTAGTAGTGTCCAAGCAGCTGCCTGCAAAGACAAGAACCAGGGCAGTCATTATGCCTGGAAAGCTGATGAGATTTTCTCAGTTCAGTGGGGTAATTGGGAGAGATCAAGCAAGAACCAGAGCTTCGGGTTTGTGTCAAGAAGGTTCAGAAGATAATAGATGCTTTCAATGGGTTGCATTGATTTTTGGAATGTTAGCTAGAAATAAGCTTTGCTAGTTTTTTTGTGCCCTTTGATGTAAAGTATGCAAAAGCTGCAGGCTTCATGGTTTACACCTGTGTTTTGGAAAGAGAGAGACATGGCTTGCCCTCTGATAACCTTCTTGTGAAGATTTCCAAAGTCCATAGTTCCATAATTCTCCAAAGCTCAGTTCCAGTTAACAAATTCAAAGCTTATAATATAAAAACTTGCACTAGATTCCCAGGCAAAGATTTCAGAAGACGGGATTAATCCTGATACAGGCTTCTGGATTTTCCTTCAAATTGCAGATGGTCTCAGTGTAGAGGCCAATCATTGTGAGAGGCACAGAACAATTTACTCTATGTCTCCTTCAAGCTTTCTGACACAGTCAGTTCCTGCTCCTTCTGCTGTTTGTCCAGGTGTGCTCTCAAGTCCTTTGACTTTGGTGCAGTGGACAAATTTTGCTGTCAAAGTAGCAGAAAGTAGGCACAGTTCTCCACCTTGGTATTACAGAGGGATTCTTTTGAGGACTCCATTATGTTATGTATGCTAGTCAGGTAGCAGAAATGCTATGGCCTCACAGATTTTACAAATATTGAATGGACTGTGAAAAATTCTTAACACAAAAGTATGCTACAGTATACTTCAGTATACTATCAAATCCCATTGTCCTCAAAAAAGATGCCACGCAGTAGGTATAGATGGTATGGCTGTAGATGGTATGAGCTGGGAATGCTCATGAAGTTTGTGGTTGCAAAGGAAAGGAGGCAACAATGGAGGAGACCCCAGGCCTGTTTGAAGATGGTAATGAGTGTTTGCAGGAAAATGAAAAGTGATTCAGTGGCTTTGATGGCTGATTCTGCAGCACAGGCTCTGTAACAGATGTGGTTCTTTAAATCATTACCCCATCCAACCTGACTTTGAATACTTCCAGGGAGGGGCAATGATGAGTTCTTCTCTGCTCAGTCTCCTGTCAGCTTTCCCAGTGCTCTTCTGATAGAGAATGACAATATTAGTACCTTTAAAATTTCTTCAATTAGATTAAAACATTGGAGTGAGTGCCAAGGTGCTATCATATTTGATCCTGATTCTGAACCATGGAAGGTGTCTTCCCTGATCATGGGTGTGACCTTTACTAAGTCTCTACTCCTTCCTTTCCATTTTTGATGCAAACCATCTATTGAGAAACAGGTTTCTGTTTGGTTTTGTGTTACCACTATGCGTGTCCTTTGCTCCAACTGAACAGTGTATTTTCATGAGGGATATAGATCCTTCACCTCCCATGGATCCCTTGACTGAGCACTTCTGTCACAAAGGCATTCTCTGAGTCCATGTACAGAAACAAACTGCAGAAGCTGCGCACAGTTTTGCTGTACTGTCGGTACTTCAGAGACTTCTTCAGGTCTATGACACCTCTGCAGCTGTCAGTCAGTGCCTTCAATACATATCCTTTATATGCATGTTGCTGTGACCAAGAGCCAGGTTTGCCTAAGTCAAACAAGAAACAGAGAATGCACCTGGGCAAACACTGTAGGAGGAGCACAGTGGGACAGGATCAGTGAGCTCTCCCCAGCACGTGGGGCCTTGGTGGGCACAGGTCCTGTCAGAACTCTGCCAGCAGCTGGCCCTCTCTGGCTATGGTTTATTGTTGGTTTTTTTTTGCTTCTATTTTATTGCACCTGGCTGGTGCTTTCTCTGGGAAAATGTCAGATTTTAGGCAAAGGAGCAATTTAAAAATTTGTCTGCCATTTTCAGTAACATGACCTTCCTTCACAAGAACGGGGAGAATTTGTCTATCAAAATAAAAAGTGGCCAGCCTTCCTTGCCTGGGAGCCCAGCACTGATTTAGGCTGACTCAAATTGATCTCTGAAATGAGTTGTGAGAACTGATTAAGCTAATTGGCCAGAGGCCAGATGAGCAGTGAAATACTCACTTGAGGAAAAGGCAATACTAGCACCAAGTGCTCCTGTGCATAGCGGATAGCCCACATGACCCACGCTTGCTCTAGAGTGGCCTGGTGATAAAGGTGAAATGGAGATCAGTCTTCCAAACCCCAGCTGGAAAAAGAGTATAGAGAACCTGGGGAACAGCAATCCCAGGTTAGCTGGAAATTTCTAGGCATGCTGGAGCCTGGTTTTGCCAGACACGGAGTTCCCAACTACCTGCTTGAGTAATGCCACATTAGGACCTAGATATGTAAAGCTTAGGCTGCATCAGCACTAGTAGACAGTGCTGGGAAATATTTCCATGAACAGAACCTGAGCTGTCTGTATTATTGGGACAGTCCCTGTTACATTTCTGCCTGGCCTGGCGAATGCTGTCTCACACGAGTTGCAGATGTAGTTCATGAGTTTACACAATCCACGCACTACTCATGACTGGCAATTTACATGGTGACAATGCTCTTCTGACAGCCAGGATGGTTAAGCAGCACAATTGCCTACCTTTCTATACAGGTTGTCATTGCTAGAAAATGGACCCCATGTTTAATTTGTGAGTTCTAGGCTGACCCTCAGGTGTTAAAAGATGGTATCCCTGCACTCTCGACGTTTCAGACCCAGACATGAACAATGAGGAACTGGAACTCCTTCCTGAGACATAATCTTTGCAGATGGTGCCGTCTCTAATGGATGTTGCAGAGAGCTGGTAGAGACCTCTGTTGGTCAGTGGATGTTTCCATTTTCCTCATTGTGTGCAGGGAGGGAAAAGGCAGTCACTATCAAATCAGTGGTTAGTGGCTGGTGGTAGTGTTGATACCGTGCTCCTTTGCGCACAAGGAATTGCTCTGTGCTTTCACACCAAACAGCCTACAGATATCCTCATTGCCATAAACTGATCCAGAGCTACTGAACCTCTGCCCCGAATGACAGCACTGCCTTCTGTGTTCTGTGTGCAGGGGTGAGCTCTTCCTGTTGGCTGCACAGCAGCAATCCATCTCCAGATGAAACAAAGGGACACAAGTGACAGGTGATCAGGACCTGGCCTGGGTCAATGATCAGCAAAGTTCTCTCTGTTTTTTGTGCTTTTTTTTTTTTTTTTTTTTTTTTTTTTTTCTTTCCATGAAAAGCCCATTTGGTCAAAAGTCTCCAAGGTGGCCTTGCAGGAGGGGATGTTATGAACTGGTGGATGGCAGCCAAAGCATCTGCTATTGGCTGAGGGACACTTGGCACAGTATGCCCATCTCTGCTGCTGAAGGAGTATAATCTCAGGAGAGAGAAGGAGGTGGGGAGAAGCTAGCTCCTCCCCCCATCCAAATCTCCATTTAGGCTGTCCTAGAAAGAAATTACCCCCCTAAAATCAGCCTTGGTGATTTCAGAGGAAGAGGGTCATTGGAGATTGGGCAGCAAGAGCCCCCAAGATGAGGATAGCCATCCTCCTGAGCCTCCTGTTCCATGCTGCTGCTGCTTCTCACCAACTGTGAGTGATGCTGAATTTCTGTTTCAGTCTGTTTCACAAAAGCATCAGTCTAGGTAGATTGACCATATTCCAGGGCATCAGCTGTCCTTCTTCCTGCTCTTATCAGATCACCCCAAAGAGCAGCTGAATTGTTTATGTTACCTCCCGTGTCCTGTAAGTTAAAATACAAATCTTCTCTTTGGGAGTCTTCCAGGTCAGACCTTATGCCTAGGTATGTTTACTTCTGTTGTTTTCTAACTGGATCAAATCACTGGTGCCTAGGCTGCACTGCTATAAGGCCACCTCTTCCTGAAGACTGTGAAAGATAGTTTTGGAAGGTTGAAGAGATGTATGCAGTAAAGGGGTTGAAATAGGTTATAGGTCTGTACTTAAGCTAAATCAAGCAGAAACTACTTCGTAAGTAGGCTGTAAAGCAATCACTGCATTGTTGCTTTGGACTGTTGACTACAGTAATGTCACCTTGCTGAGGGATTCTGCAGTAGTGGGCTGCTGCAGGGAAGCTCTTTTGTGTCTCTGAGCCTTCAACTCAATGCAGCCTTTGATGTCTTCTTTCTCCTGTCCCAGACATTACCTGGTGGCGATCCCTGCAGCTCTCCGCTACCCATCCACCCAAATGGCTTGCCTCCATATCACCTGTTACGAAGCAAAGCTTCAAGTGAAGCTGGTCCTGGAGCGCTCTGAAGGACACAATCTCTTAGTGCAAGAAACCATCCAGAAGGAGAAGACTTTCATGTGCGCTAAGTTCTGGGTGAGCCACTCTAGGCAAACTGCATCTCTTCAGGAACTGTAAAACCCTTGTAGCTGCTCCCTAGCCAGGGCTGACATGGACAGGCTCTACTTTGCCTTGGGTTGAGTCTTCTGGTAAGGAGAGTGGATGGTCCTTGTGGTTGTGTCGCTCAGCACAGTATCCCTTGGTCGGCACTGAATTACTCTTCTGAATCTGACTTTTAATTTGAAGTTACATTTGTTAAAAACTACTACCCATCTGAGTATATAGTAAGGACCAACCTGTTTCCTTGTCCTCCACTCCAGATCAGATAGCGCAGCTTTTCTTTTCTCTGAAGGACTTGTGCAGTTCTGTAGCTAAAGCCTAGGGAAATGGTGGTTTGCATGTGGTAGACTACAGTTTCTGTAGGACCTGCAGCCAGGCAGCAGCTCAACTCTTGGGATGTACTGAACTGGAAATGGATGTACTTGTTATTTGTAAACAGCATCTTAGAGCTGATTCACTGTTAGTGAGAATTTAACTAAGATTTATGATAAGGTAGGCATGCCTCAGCAGTAACCCTTTTATTATGCAGTATATTCTGTGCTGAGGGTGCTGGGATCTTTGGCTGCAGGAATCAGGAAGACCCTGTGGTTTGCTCTGTCCTTGTAATATGGCTTTCTTACTTACATATGCTGCATAGTTTTGAAGGCCTAGCATCTGAGGCTATGTCAAACAGCTCAATTTCTCTGCTTCGATTCTGTGCTTCTATATCCCACCTTTCTGGCATTTTCTCATCTACCTAACTGTCACTTTCTTGTCCCAAAAGTTCCTTAGACAGCAGGAAAAAGGATGGATTCCATGGTATGCAGGGCCTCTTGCTGTAGTGTAGTGAGTGCACCGAGTGCAATCTGGATGTGATCTGAGTCCAGATGTTGAAAGGCATTACGTGTGACAGGTGAAGAAGAACTGGTTATTTTTTCCATTTCCACCTTACTCTCAATTCCTGCTCAGGGCCCCCAAAGGTAATATCACTTGGGAGCTGCATGCTCTTCTCTCTTTTCTGTACAGGTTGCACCTCCAGCTGATGGCACAGAGGAGATTGCCACTGTCAAGCTGCTTATCACAGGCCAAGGAGTCAGTATTGAGGAGAAGAAAAAGGTCCTGATCAGAAAGGCCAGCAGTGGCACCTTCATCCAAACAGACAAGCCCACCTATAAACCAGGTCAAACAGGTAAGAGCTGCAGATGGGAGCAAGCATGGAGCCTGGGCTCTCTGCTTGTAACATCATATGAGAAGACTACAATTGCCTGAGATTCATGGAAAACCCTAGCAGAAAGCTTTGATATAACTCATGTTGAAATTATGTTTGCAGTGGCTGTGATGTGCAGACTGTGGTGACTGTGAAGTTGCAGGAGGCAGTAGCTCTTTATCCATGATATCTTATATGGGGGAATACCCATGTCAGATGTTACCACACACATATGTAGAATGGAAACAGGACCTGGGGAGACAGAAGAAGCAGGGGTCTTCAGGGAAGGACTGAAATGTAATAAATATATTCCCTGTTTTCCTTGCCTTCAGTGAAATTTCGTATTGTGACTCTGGATGAGGACTTCATTGCACTTAATGATTCGGTAAGCCAGTCCTGGGGGACCATGGAAGAGGCTGCCCTTTTCCATGTCTGAATCCCACTTCTTTTTTCCCCTGCTTATCTGCCAAAGCTCCAGTTTCTCCTTGTCCCCTGCATTCATCCCTGGGCCAGGCCTGGTGAAGGTCCAGAGGAGAACGGTAACTCAAGTAAACTCAGGTAACTCAGGAAGATGGCAAAGATGTATGTGTTTCTTGCTCATCTTGGTAAAATAGCCCTACAAGCACAAGAATGGCTCATATTGATGTGTGAGGTGCTAGTGCCACGTGAGTAGTTTGCTATTAAGGTTTTCCTGGGGCTGTGGAGTGGAGGAGTGCTCTTAGGCTGGCTCTTACAACTTGGAATATAAGAAATTCTGATAAGACATTAGGAAAAAGCTTTTTCATTGTGAAGATTATCAGATATTGAATAGATGCCCAGAGAAGGAATTTTCTTCCTTGCAGATGTTTAGAACTCAACTGGAGAAGGCTCTGAGCAATCTGCTCTAATAAGATGTGCTTTCAGATGACCTCCAGAGCTTCCTTCCAAACTACAGGATTGTGTAACTCTGTAAATCCTTTGAGTCTCTGCTGCTGAGCCAGAGCTACATCAGTTTTAGTAGCGAGTTTTCCTGATGGAGGACTCTGTCAGGAAGTCATTAGCAAGTGCTGGGTGACCTTCAAAATGGCTTTTCTTTTTCCTTTTTCCAGACCTTCCCATAATGGACCCACAATGTATTTCTCTTTTTTTTGGTGACATTTGTACAATTTATATTGCTTATCAGTGCTCTAAATTTCCAAGTCACTAGTCCCACACCCTTCACAGAAGGCTCTGCATCTCAAGTACCTTGTGTGTGTTACCAGCATGTGTTTCTCTCTTTTAATGTTTTTACCTTTCTTTCCCTCCCAGATTTCCCTGTTTCTTCAGGTGAGTGATGCTGAAATCTAGTATAACAGTAATGTTGATGGCAGCCGATTCATTGGGTTATTCATATTCAGTTCCTGGTAGGTTTTATGGATCTGTGAGTAGAATGGTAGAACTTCAAGATTACTTAATTGAACTTACTACATACAGCCTCTGTGCCTGTTTTATGTACTTGATATTATGCTCTCAGTTACTTCAGGATCTGAGTTGATCCTGACATACAGGAGTATGGACAGAACAATTCAGACCATTTGGACCATCCTGTAAAGGATCTTTAAGATCAGAATTTAGAGAAATGTAGAAGGGGACTCAGATGCTGAGAGAAAAATGTAGCGTTACATTATTTTCAAAATTTCTTTTGATTTTTTTTTTCTTTTGCATTTTTTGAATGTTTTTTGAAATTTTCGTTTGAATTACTTTGAACTATTCCAAACCTTCTTTCTTAGCTGTCTTCCAGCTAGCACAAAAATCCTGAAACTGGGTTTCTGTGGGGTGTGGATCACTGAGATGCTGGAACAATTGCTTCTTTCTCTTTTGTGGATGTAGGACCCTAACAACAACCGGATAGAGCAGTGGCTGAACGTGGTGCCCCAAGATGGCATTGCAGATCTGTCTTTCCAGCTAAGTGATGAGCCACTGCTTGGGACGTATGTCATCAATGTAACCAGTGGGGAAGCATACGACAGCTTCTCTGTTGAGGATTATGGTATGAGCCTGTGGGGGGTATGTTTGAGCTGCAGAGATAACCTTTCTCTCTGGTCCAGGAAGCTGGGTGTTTGTTCCATGATAACCATTCTGGGAGCAAATGGGAAAAGTAATAGCATCTATTATAGAAAAGAGTCTGAGCTGAGGCTCAGGAGAGAGAACACTTTGGGACCTTGGGCTGGTGTGTGGGAACAATGTTGTGCATGGCCCTAGACACAGTTGATTCCTGTAGGTCTCTGTGTGAGACAAAACAAGGTCATTGGGATGGGTTTTCAGGAGTGTGTGAAATTCAGTGCCATCCCATTTCTATTTTATTCTCTAATTAACTGTGCTGGGATAAATGACTGTCTGATGTGGAGGGATATGGACATATTTGGAATTTAGTTTAGAAAAGATCAATGAACCAGGGGCTACATGCAAAGTTGTTAAAGAAGTAATGGAAATCTTCCGTTTCTCTTTCCCACCACCTTACTTATCAATTTCTTGGCTCTTACTCCAATGCAGTCCATTTTTATGTTGATTCTCTGGAAATGCTGTCCTTGGCCAGTGTTTTCTACAGTTGTCTGTTGTTTTTTTTTTTTTTTTCTTTCCAGCACTGCCAAGATTTGAAGTGATCTTTGAGGCACCAATTAAGATTTATGCACTAGATGAAACCTTCCCACTCCGGGTATGTGGCAGGTAAGGATTTTGCTTGAAAAGCTGGGCCCTATGTTAATTTCTAGCATGAGATGAGTACAGGATGGTTAGGTACTCATGAGAAGTTCAAAGAAAATTTACTACGTCTGTTACAGGAGGCCAGAACCTTCTATGGAAGTTGTTTGCACAAACAAAACAAAATATTCCTACATTCCATAAACATTCCATACAAAAAAAAAAATCCTAAAATTACCCTTCTTGTAATCTAGTGCCCTTTTCTGAAAACAGTCCACAAATGTCTACACACAAAATATGGGGAAATGGCTTACCCTTGATAACTAGCCATTTGAGGTGCAGAGCATGGAAGGTGTTTAGTGTTCATATCCCTACAGAACAAACTCAAGGAAAAAGAAGGGAAGCTTTTCCAGGTAACAGTCTAGCACAATCTACAGAAATTCAAAAAGAAGTTGCCTTAGGTACAGTCCAAGGACAACAGTAGGGTTAACTGCCTCATGTAAAGGCATTTTATTTAAGTCACTGATGCTTGTGCTCATCAGAGGATGCATGCCTTCAGCTTTTCCCAGGCTTATCACAGGTGATGATGAAGGAAAACGCAGAACTCTGTGTTGGGTCAGCACCTAAAACATTTCAGTTTCCAAGAATAGCGTAGTATGACGCTAATTTTGTCACAGAGCTCTTGATCTCCCATCATTGCAGTGGCCTAGCTTGGTCTTGTTGAGTGGATCAGGGCTCCTGGGCCTGCTGTACAGCTGCCACCTTTGTGCTATATTGTGAATAGCCATGAATAAGTTTCTCTGGAAATTCCTGTGTTCTCCCACTGTGTGTGAATCTCTCTTCCTTTCCCTGCTCCCCCAAACAGATACACCTATGGGAAGGGTGTCCAGGGAATGGTTCACGTGCAGCTTTGCCAGAAGATAGCAGTGTTCTTACCCAGTGCTTCGAAACCTGATCTCTGTCAGGAATTCCACGGCCAGGTGAGATGCTTAGCAGGAACTGAAACCCATGCAGTGAAAATTATGGCCAACCCTAGGATAAGGCAAGGCTGCTGGAGCCCTTAGCTGAAACAGTAGTGATGGCACCCCTTGGTTTTGGCTACTTGGCCAAGGGTCTGCTAGTGCTGCCTCCTAGTAACTGTGTCTGCTATGACTCTGTGTGTAACATGTGCCTGCTCCACAATGTTGGCTGCTATCTGTACACTGCCTTGTTTTCCTATTGAGTGGGACCTTATTTAATTTAACATGTAATAACATCTAAAGGTTCTTTTCACTCAGGGAGATAAATAAAAGCGATTGTGAAACCGCACCAAAAAAAAAAACAACAACAAAAAACAAAAACCAAACAGGCTAAAAAGGTACTACAGGGAGAACTCACAGAGGATAAATACAGCTTCCCTCCACCTCTCTGGTGCTGGCATCTGGCTGTGTCACATTGTGGCCTAGTGGAGATGGATGGCAGAGGCTGCGAACTCGGCAGCACTCTCTGAGTGAGATTGCTTCTTAGATAGTCATCTGTGAGCAGGGATTTTTCACTGCTGTTACTGCCCCATTTGGATAATTTCAGACATAGTTGTCTTAATCAGACGTTGTTTCCTCTCTTCATGGTTTCAGACAGACAAGACGGGTTGCTTCTTCACAAACGTGACCCTATCCTCCTTCAGCCGAGACTTCCGATACTATCAGGACAGCATAGTTGCAGAGGCCTCACTGGTGGAAGATGGCACAGGTAACTGGAAATATCTCTGCTATCTATGAAGAGGCATGTGAAGATGCACAGTCTTGCCAAGAACACAAGAGGCTTTCAGTCTAAGAAGGGCTCTGTGCTTTTTGAGCCCACTGGGGCCTGCCATCTAACCTCACAAATGCAGGCAAAGCCACAGATTCCTGAAGGCATGACACACTCAGACTGTCCATGGTCTAATCTCATGGAGTGAAGTTTAGGGACCCTTCTAAGGACTCGAAGCAAGTGGGAGGGAGACCAGATACTCGGAGCCCTTGGTTGAGTCATCTCTCTGATACGAAATGTATGTGTGCATGTACATCAGTGTTACCAGTGGGTCACTCTACAGGCAAATTGCTGAGAAGTGCTTGGTTTCCTTGCTCCCTCCCTTATGTTTCTGTCTTACTGCTCTTTTTCAGAGATACAGGTCAATGCATCCCACAAATTACTCATTTCCAAGATTGGCGGAATGGCCTTGTTTGATGATATGAATTCTTACTACCACGCTGGAGAGATGTACAGGGGGAAGGTAATTCTCATTATGGTCCTTTGGAGAGTAACATCTTTTTCTGCCCCACCTCTAGCAAGGGCTTGGGAGGGCATGAAGGACTCCCAGAGACAAAACTTCTGAATTGTCAAAAGTGAGAAAAACACCCAACACTATCATTTGTCATTGATAATGACAATTGTCATTGTTAATAAATCCTGAATAGTAGCAGCTATGGGGATCTAGGGATGGGAATGGGGGAACCCAAGCATTTGGAATTTCAGCAGCCAGGAGGCCTTCTGCTGTGAAGGGTTGGAGAGTATGGGGATTTCATCATGCTTAAATATGAATCAACAGGGTAGTGCATGGGATAATAGGAGGTTACCAGTAGTAGTGTTGGTAAAATTGTTAGGGACTGGAAGGGTGACCTTGCTGGCTTTGGAAATGCTGCTAGTGACTTGGAGAAGAGGAGACTGTCCACTGACAGTCTTCTGTGTCTCTGTCACTTGCCATGGTATTCTCAGATTAGAGTCATCAACTACAAAGGCAAGACACTGAAGCACAAAAAAGTTCTCCTCGTAGTAAGCAGTGGTGAGCAGAAGTTTCAGCATAAGTACCTCACTGGGGATGCTGGGGAAGTTTCATTTAGCCTGAATACAACTGCTTGGAACAGCACCTCAGCCTCCCTGGAGGTAAGTAAACAAAGGTCTGTCTCACCTTTGTTCTCACAACTGTATGTGTTCACATCTCTCTGTTTTCACACTGGTTGTGAAGGTGAGGGGTAAGCATGCTTCTCAGTGCTATTTACTGCCCCACAGACATCTCCTTTGTTCCCTCCTGAGGGACTGGAATTCCAACCTGAAACACCTCTGCATGTTCTGGCTCTTGGTGTCCCTTTAGAGCTTATTCTCTGGATCTAAGCTGCTTTCCTCATGGGCTGTTCACATAGAGACTTGTGTGATGGTGTTGTTCAGACCTGTCCTGAGGTTCCTATTAAGACACAGTTGGAGTTAATTGCAGCTGACTTGCTTAACTAAAGAAATAACGTGTTGTTTGTTTGTTTGTTTGTTTGTTTTTTCTTACCAGGCAAGTGTCCTGCATCAAGATTTGGATACAGAGCCTGGGACAATTGATTTGAGTTACCAGAAAGCCTCTCATTTCATACATCCATTCTACAGCACCAGCAAGAGTTTTCTCACTATTGTCCGTGTGCCAGAAACGATGCCCTGTGGTAAAAAGCAGGCTATCCAGGTGGACTTCAGAATCTATCAGGAAGACCTGGAACATGGGCCCAAGCGTGTCATTTTCTCCTACTTCGTGAGTTTCTGGGGAAGTGCTAATAGGTGGTGGCTCAAAACACAAGATCAGCATCCTCCACAGGAAGCACCCAAGCCTGATACTTGATAGCTTGGACTCGGCCCAGGACAGGTAGCTCATCTAGCCATCATGGGGCTAGCATCCTGGTTTTGATTCCAGGACTGCAGTTGTGGCATGAAAAGCAGCACCTTTCTTTTGGGCTCTGCACAGGTCGAGATCAAGTATTGACCTTATCTGTCCCCCCCCCCAAGTTCTCTGAACTTTCCTTGTTACCTGAGCATGTGTAAAGCTCCTATCCTCCTCACACTCCCCATTTAATCTCCAGTTTCAGGGATACATTGGTTTGCATAATGGTCTCAAAGACTATGTGACTGGCATTCCCTTCCCTTTCTGAATTCTTTCCTAGTTCACGGGGAAAAGAGGGATAGTCCATGCAGGCCAGAAGACTGTTTGGGTTGGGCTGCCAAGAAGTAAGTACACTGCCTGGTTTCATGTTAAGCAAGCATTCAGTGTTCTATGTGGGATCCCTTAATTGGATGTGTGGTATAAACCTCTTTGCAGTTTAGAGCTGACTCACCCTTCTTCTGTCATGTCAGAACAACTTGCATTTCTATCTTTCATGTCTTTTTTCCCTCTTGCTTGGTACCAAGAGAACAGTGCTCAGTATTTCCTGGCCCACGGGCTCATTTGTTGCCTTCATTTTCTAAAAAAATCTCCTTTTGCTGCCCATGCAAAGGGCATGAAACTATAACTTTGCCCTCTATCAAAACTATTCTGCTTTGATTTGTAATTGTGTCTACAAATAACCTTTGAGTAGTTAGAATGACAGAACTTATCATTTTGATGGGTGTTGACTGTTGACTCACTGTTGTCTTTTTTTTTCTTTAATCTAATATAACCTAAATTATAGGTGCTTTGAGACAAATGTGACCTCTTTGTTTGGTGATAGGATGGGAGATGCTTGGTGACGGGAGGCTTTGAAATATGTCTGAGACTTACTCCTTGTGGAGATAAATTTGAACTTAAAGGAAATGTTTCATCTCCTTGAGGCAATGAACAAAGCCAATAAGAGTCTTCTTCAGGTCTTGAATACCAGGTCCAGAGATGTGCTGATTGTTTCAGTGGTCTTCAAAATCTCCACGGTCCTGAAAGAGCTGAGGAAAGGAATTAAATAGATGCATGCAGAAGGGCAAAAGTTGAGTCCATTTCCATTACCAAATTTACGTTTTTCTCTTGTTTCCTCTCTCCCCCATCTAGTGCTGAAAGGCTTCTTCTCCATCCCTGTTACCTTCAGCTCAGTCTATGCTCCAGCTCCAACACTTATTGTTTATGTTATCTTCCCTAATGGAAAAATCATTGCTGATTCTGCCACCTTCAGTGTCTCCACATGTTTCAGAAATAAGGTAGGATTCATGTCAGAGGCCATGACTAAGTATGTGAGAGTGTGTGTCTGCTGCAACCAAAGAAGAGACTGTGTAGTACATAATATGTGTGCTGTGTGTGGC